GAACCTCAAATTAGCCACCCTTATTGAACCTCAAATTAGTAGCCTTCATCTGTATCATCATTAGTAAACCAAATTCAACTACCTTTGACCGGATTGGTTGAATGCTTCTAGCATCACTAGTTTTTTGTTGCCATTTATGTCTTCTGAGAAGTAAAAGTGGTCACCAGCACCGATAAGTTTTGTTCTTTAGTATATGTTAAGTAGCTTTCTACTTCCATAACAATATTATGTAAGTTTTCATCTTTACCCTGTTTTTAATCTACTAGTTTTTGAGTCATAGTTGTGTTTAGCTAAATGGTTCTTGCTTCTCGGTGATAGGTTCCCTTTTTGATATATTTTTGCTTTAGTCAAATAATTTGTTTTTGTTTTGGTGATATTTTTCACAGTTGAGCATGTTGACAAAGTTGGATGGGTAAAGGATTTGCTTGATGTTATTTATATGGATAATTTTTTTTTTTCTAAAATTGTAATGTTTTTAAGTTATGAATATTATGATCAAATAAGTTTTTGATAATGTTGGAAAGACATTGATATGTTTTTGATAATGTTAGTTAGATGTTGATTGTCAAGTGTTTTCATTCCTTTTCTTTCTCATTTTATACATACCAAACAACATGGATACAAGTTTCGATTTTTAGGTTGTTGTGTTTGATATTTATCTCATAGATAGAGTTATGGATGACAATTTTTATTTGGATTTTAAATGATTTGTGTGTAATGTTTAGGATGTTGGTTTGGAACGAGGGTAAAATGGTCATTTGTCATCAATCAGCACATCCAGTCAGATGTACAATGAAACAACATGATTTCTTACTCAGTCAGGATTTCTTACCCAGACAGACAATTCCCAATCAACACTTTCTCAGTCAGCAATTATCAAACGAGGCCTAAGTTAATCCATGACAGATTTGCAAAAACCTTTGAAAACAAAATCGATTATGGTTTTCTAAAAGCCTAACTCTCATTATGTGACAACCTCATGTCCTCCTGAAAACGAGATGAACACATACTTTCAAATACAAACCCGTAGGAGTTAGGGGTTTTAGAAATAAAAACCTACTGAAAAAAGAAATCAATGGAGAAGAGGATGGGTGCTCATGAGTTTTTTATCTGGAATGTTGTCATCGTCCTTCGTTTTCTACAGTCTAGAACTCTGTCAGAAAATTTGTAGATCTCTAGTAACCCTAACATCAATAGTGTTGGTGAGATCTAAAACCTTACCTTGTGTTATAAGATCTGAGAGAAATCTAGGGGTTTCGTTTTGGCGAGGTAGCGACATTCCGACGAGGAATGCGGTGTTTCGGGAAGAGGGTAGTGTTCTAGTGAGGAGGGTGGTGGTGGTGGTATCTTCTAGTTGTGAAAATCTGTCGCACCCCCAAACCAAGGATGGCGGAAACGTCCGGGGGTGGCGGACTTCATGTATAGTATCACAATAACGAGTATAATAGTGCTCAAAGTAATTACAACCATCATAAATATAATTGAAAAAAGTTACACCAAAGTATATGCTTACATGATTCAAATCAATTACATTATGATGACAAAATGAATTGTTTGACGATTTATCGTCCCATCCTCACAACGCTGTTGATTTCCTGAGAATACAAGTTGTTTGAAAAAGCGTCAACACAAAGGTTGGTGAGTTCATAAGCTTTTTAGATAAAGAGTTTGGAAACCGTTCTTTGTAATGTGTGGGGTGTTACCAAGAAAAATCCAATATTTTCCTTATAAAAGTTATGTGGTCCGAAATGTCGGGAAAATGAACAAGTATTTGTCATACTTAAAGATATAAAAGTGGTTTTAAATTGGCGTAAAACCCTTTCTGATTTGAGAAAAACCCCGTAATGAATGGTGTGTAGTCTTAAATACCAAGACTGAAAGTATACAATAATATCTGTAATTATTGATATAAAAAGTGGTTTTAAATTGACATAAAACCCCTTTGTGATTTATGAATATCCCCGTAAACTTTATGTGTTGTTAACTTCCTTTGTGAGCCGCTATAACCATACTATGACTGAACGAACCTGCCACGACGTTTCTCAGGCGTCGCGAAACTGAAATGACATTTGTCACCCATAGACCTGCAGGTCCTACTATAGCTAGCAGTAAGGTGTGGGGTGTCAAACCCAATATAGATCTATACACAACTATCACGTTCTCCTTACAAGAGACTCTAGTTATAACTACCAGGAATTTAGATCCCGCACTCGGACGTACGGAAAGAGAATGTCTCACAATTTAAGTAACAAGTTTACATGTGGTGTGCGTGAGTGTAAAACCTTTTTCTGTGGGAATAAAACCTTCCGAAATGTGTTTGATGTGTTAACGGAAACATAAACCATACCTATTATAGCTTATCAAAACGTTTAAATGTAATAGTTATAACTTTGTTTATTATGGTTAACTACCGTATTTGTGAAGGTAAAAACCCTTTTGTTTACCGATATGTATATGTACTTTTTACTAAAATGAAGCAACATGCATTATAACAACAAATTATTTACTACACTTTTGTAGGTAAAAATCCATTTGTTTTCTGATGTATGACTATATACTAAGATAAATGTCATCTATTTTCAAAAACATATATTCACATAAAGATATACACCTTGCTCAACATGTTACAAGGTGAAATGAACTTTTATAGTATTTTTCTATCGTTAACATTTTCTTTCACTGTTCTTTGAAAATTTATAGAAAAATCATCAACAGTCCAAATCAGAATCCGTAAATTCTGAGAGTTTGGGAAATTAGTCTAGTTTGTTCCTTATTTTTATTATGAATTTTAATGATCTCAAACTTGTGTGGAAACGTCCATAATCACAGACTGGTCCGGATTAATATTTGAAATGATAGGCAGTTTTGTAAAAATTACCATAAATTGTAGAAAAATCGTATGGAGATGTGTAAGTAGTCATTTTAAAGCTAAGAACTTGAACTATTTGCATCGAATACAGTTTTCAAAACTAAAATGTTTAAGTTGTCCAAAACAGTCTGTGAATGGAGTCCAACTTTTCTGATGAAAGCTATTAGCAAAGTTTAGTTATGTTGTTGGTGTTTTAACTTGTATTCCCCCCACCTTAAAACTAATAAAACATGAAAATACATGGGGTATGAACTCACCTTATGTGATTTCAGTAGATGGATGATGGAGAAAAGAAGTGTTCAACTCAAGAACACTTGGGAGATGCTTGAGGATTTGAGGATCTAACAACAAATATGACGATATTTTTGTAACCAATCTATGATTTGGATGAAGGATAGTAGAATATCTAAGTGTAGGAGGAAGATACTTACCAAATGTGGAGGAAAAATCTAAGATCAGTCGTTGAATCTCGAATTTTTAGAGAAAGGAAGTGAGAGAGAAAATATGTTTGATCTTTGGTGGAAGAATGAGAAAATGAGAGAAGTGTGAGGAGAGAGGAGAGTTTTCTAGACTTTGACCAATTGTGTAGTTGGAAAAAGGTGGGAAAAGTACAATGAAGTGACTAGGTATGGGATGATGGGGAATAGTGACATGGAGTGGGTATGGGAGGTTGCTTGTGTCATAGATTAAAGCAAAGTCAACACTCCACCTCTTGTACTTCACCCACTCTTCTTGGATAAGGTTTATCCCCAAAAACGTGGTTAATTAGTAAATATGGGGCCTTATATGTTAAAATAAAGTTTTAGGTGAAAATCCCGCTTTAAAACAATTAAAAACGGGCCTAAAACGGAAAACTAGTCGAAAACCGGGAAGAAAAGGGCTTCCAGCGAGACCTCTTGGTCCTGGCCGGAGGTTCGGTCTCTTCTGGTGCTAGCCGAAAGCGAAATGAGGCGAAGAGGGTAAGGTGCGAAATGGACGGAAGGTTCGGTCCGAAAGGAAGGGTTTGGTCCTTATGCGAGGTTCGGTCCATCAGGCGAGGTTCGGTTCTGACTAGTTCGCTTCTGATGGGTTCGGTTCCTAAGAGGAGTTTCGGGTCCTTAAGAGGGTTCGGCCCCTTAAGAGGGGTTTCGGGTCCTTAAACCTATTTTACTCGTTTTTACCCCGTTTTAAGCCGTTTTTGACCCGGTTAAGGGTCGGGATGGCCCGAAAGACTATAGAAAGTTTAATGAACTTTTGAGAGAGGTTTAGTAGAGATTTGGGAGAGATTTCACATTCTTGGAGAGATTCCACATAAAAAGAGAGATTTGGGAGAGATTTGACATTCTTGGAGAGATTCCACATACAAAGAGAGATTTGGGAGAGATTTGACATTCTTGGAGAGATTCCACATACAAAGAGATAGAGTGAAAACGATTGAGAGAGGTTTCGTGTGTGACATTTGTGAGTGTCCAGCTTCGCAAATTCAAGGTCCGTAAACCCCGTTAAGCCATGTTTAAGGATCTTACACACTCCCGATGAGTAAGCAACATTGTTTTATCGGTTTGGATCGTTACTTACCACAGTTTTAGGTTCAGTAAATCTAGATGTACGTACTTTTCAATTTATGACTTCTCATTAGAATAGCGAGTTGTATAGTATTTACCTAACATGAGCTCTAGTACACAAGGGTTAGTTGAGTTGACCGGTTTGACTTGACTAGAAATTGATAGTTGTCACAAAATCAAATGAGAAAGATGAGAGAGGGGAGGAAGGAAGAGGAGAGGGTATGGGTAGATGTTTTTTATTTTTAATATTAAAATAATATAAGAGAAATATTTAAAAGGGAAAATGACCTTTGAGGGTAATAAAGTGTTCTATAAGTACTCATTTGGTCCCTTATCTTTTTTTTTTTGTCTTTATTATACCACTGAACTTACTAATCCTGCTCACCAAAACCCTCGATACCGGTTATCACCTGTTATGCCGGTTATCTCATTTAAGTAGAGATGACATGTCGTATTACGTGGACCTAGACCACGTTGCAAACCCATTACTCTTTCACCCCCAATTCTCCTTACAGTTAGGGTTTAATCGAAGAATATAGTTACAAAATTGAAGAGAAGTGGTGAATGCGAGTGTTATAGTGAAGAAGATGGCCTCCGATTCCAAACTCCGTAAGTATTTGACATTTTATGTACATTATAATGGTTTATTTGCACCAAAAGCATTAGTGTACTTGAACTCTGTTGTTGTTTCAATCGCTGATGTTGATTTTGGTGGAATGGATCTCAAAGATTTTAAGTTGTTCATTGAAAAGTTGATTGAAGGCAGTTGCGATAATGTATATTATTGCACTAGAAATGAACCATTGGCAGAGGGTATTAGGAGAATTGGGAATGATGCTGACTACTATGAGTTTATTGAAACGGGTTATAGTGATGAAGTTGGTCTAACAATAAATGTGTATATAGACCACGAAAATGAACCTGTACTTGATTGGGCTGATATGGAAGTAGTAGAAGATGATGAAGGGCATTATTCTGAGCCAGACATGGACGATGATAAAGAGTCACAACTTTCTGATGATATTCCATATGAGCATGAAGCAGATGGTTACATTCCTTCTCTTGACAAAAATGTTGGTGATGAATTCTTACACCGGGTGTCAGGTATTTCTAAGGATAAAAATGATGAGCTTGAAACTGATGAGGTTGAAACCAAAATGGGATGACAAACCAGTGTACCCTGTCCATAATGAGAACCAGAAATGGGACAAAATGGTGCCAATTCTAGGTATGAGATTCTCTAACCCTATGGAATTGAAAAATTGTTTGACTAACTATGCAGTGAAGAATGGGTACAATCTTTATTATGAGAAAAATGATAGTCACAGGTTATTAGTGAGATGTTGTAAAGATAGCAAGAACCCCTCTTGTCCTTTTAGACTGTGGGCTTCCTGGATGAGTAGTGAAAGGTCTTTCCAGATTAAGTCCTTAGTTGATGACCATAACTGTTCAAGAGTCTTCAAACTTGGTTCCATTGTAACATATAAATGGATTGGAAAACATTTTAAGAATCAACTTTTGAAGAACCCCAAAATGAGCATAAGGAAAATGAAAGCCAAAGTGAGTACAAAGTTTAACTTGATTGTTAGTGTGACTCAATGTAGAAATGCTAGGAGATATGCTTTGGATGAGATAGAGGGTAGCTTGATAGAACATTATGGTAAAGTATGGAGTTATGGTGAAGAAATAATGAGGACAAATCCTGGTTCAACAGTAAAGATAGATGTGGATGTCATGCCTGATTCCACCACTTACTTTTCTAAAATGTATGTTTGTTTTAAGGGTGTGAAGGATGGTTGGATTGCAGCATGTAGGAGGGTAATAGGGGTAGATGGTTGTTTTTTAAAGGGTATATGTAGAGGCCAACTGTTAGCAGCTATGGGTAGGGATGCAAACAACCACATCTTCCCTATTGCATGGGCTGTGGTGGCAGTAGAAAATAAGGAAACATGGAAGTGGTTTCTTGACCTCCTACTAGATGATATTGAAATGGGAATTGGTCATGGATTGACCCTCATATCAGACCAACACAAGGTATATTTTCTTTTATGTTTTGTTTGAGTTCAATGTTTTTTGTTATGTCATCCATTTCTTGTTTCTTTTAGGGATTGGTTGAGGCTATCAAAGAAAGAGTTCCAGCAGCAGAGCATAGATAATGTGCTAGGCACATCTATGCTAACTTCAAGAAAAGATTCAAAGGTGAACAATATAGGAAGCTGTTTTGGGCAGCTGCTGCAAGTACTACTCAACCTAAATTTGAGGCAGAAATGAATTACATAAAAACAATTGACCCTTTAGCTTATGAAACCTCATGGAAAGGGACCCTAAAAGTTGGTGCAGGATTCTTTGAAGTGGACAGGGCTTGTGATGCTTATGAGAATGGCATATCAGAAAGTTTAACTCTGTTATTGATCTTGCTAGGAAGAGACCACTCCTCACCATGTTGGAAGAGATTCGATTTATGCAATGGAGAGGATGTATAGAATGCTGCTAGAGGGACAAAGTTGGGGTAATTTAAAAATATGCCTATCTATAAGATTAAAGATATCAAAGTTAAAGAAACAACAAAGGTATGATATAACTTGTATTTTATATGTATTAATATGTCATCTAGTAGATTAATAGAATTTGTTATTTTTGTGGACAGATTTTGGGGAGTTATACCTTCTGGGGGTACAAAAATATGAGGTTAGGATTGGAAATGATGGATCTGCTGTGGACCTTAACAACAACACATGTGGATGTAGATCTTGGCAAGTATCAGGTATCCCATGTGTGCATGCAGTGGCAGCTATTTCATACCTCAACAGGAATGTAGAGGATTATGTTGAACCATGGTTCCATACAACCATGTTCTTGACTTGTTACAACCATACCATTAACCCACTTAATGGTAGTTCCATGTGGCCTGAAGCTCCCTACATGAAGCCATTGCCTCCTCAAAAAAGAAGGTTACCAGGAAGGCCAACCCTTAAAAGGAAAAAGGATCAATCTGAGATGGAAAGCAAAGGGAAAAGAAGGCATACTATCTCAAAAGCTGGTTCAGTTAATAGATGCACTATTTGTAGAGAAAGGGGCCATAATAGATCAACATGTCCTACTAGACCAGCAGATGTAGCATCCACTTCAAGGCCAAAAAACAAGAAACCTAAAAAATGTAAAAAAGAGAAAGGTATGATATTAAAACAATATAATTTAAATGGAACATCCAACTCATTAACTACATATTTGTATAGCAGGTAAAGTGGAACTAGTTCAAGTGGATCCAGTTCAAGCAGATCCAGTGGATCCAGTTCAAGTACCAGCTCCAAATGTTGAACCAATTCAAGCAGATCCAGTGGATCCAGTTCAAGTACCACATGTTGAACTAGTTGATGATCCAACTCCACATGTTGAACCAGTTCAAGTAGATGATCCACATCCAAATGTTGATGTCCCTGCTCAACCAGTTGCAACTAGGAAGAGGATACGAAAATACTCAGAAAGAATTACCAAGATAGGGTTGAGGAGGAAGGTTTTGAAGAAAGAAGGAAGCACTGGACACAACCCAATGGTGTTGGAATGATTTTATGTTTATTTTTTTTGGAAAGACAAACTTTTAGTCTTGTAATTATGTAATTGGGAAAACTTTAAGAATCATGGCACATGGCACATCTTTTGACATATTAGGACAACTGTGGGCACAGCTTTTGTAATAGTGCACATGCTGATGGAATATTACAACTTTGTCTTTTATCTATATGCTTTGGTGTACGGTTATTTGCATATAGATTGTTTAATCTTATATTATCTATCATAAATCAAGTAGATTTAGTATTAATACATTAAGCAATGTTTGATGATGTTGTTGTTGTTAATCTGGACCATTTTACCCTTGGATCACATCAACACATTAACAATTGATTACTGCCAAATTTAATCTGGACCATTTTACCCTTGGATCACATCAAGACATTAACAATTGATTACTGCCAAATTTAATCTGGACCATTTTACCCTTGGATCACATCAAGACATTAACAACTAATTAATGCCAATATTTAGTCTTAATACATTAAAAAATGTTTGATGTATCCAATGTGGTTAATATGGACCATTTTACCCTTGGATCACATCAAGACATTAACAATTAATTAATGCCAATATTTAGTCTTAATACATTAAGAAATGTTTGATGTATCCAATGTGGTTAATCTGGACCATTTTACCCTTGGATCACATCAAGACATTAATAATTGATTAATGCCAATATTTAGTCTTAATACATTAAGAAATGTTTGATGTATCCAATGTGGTTAATCTGGACTATTTTACCCTTGGATCACATCAAGACATTAACAATTAATTACTGCCAACTTTAATATGGACCATTTTACCCATGCATCATGTCCAATTCACTAACCTGTTAAACACATTAATACTTCTTGGAAAGCACTCAAAACATCAAACTATCATTAATCAAAAAGATTTAGTCTTAATACATCAAACAAATTACAACATTAAGGATTACATTTAGTCTTTGAATACAACTAAACTAACTACTTCTTAAACACAAAAAACAGAAACAACACAATCATCACAACTTTATAAGTAAATAACTTCCATTTGAGTTTTTCAAACTCTTGTCTAACAACCAAGTTTTCTTGTTCCATCTTCATCTTACAAATGCTGATCTCGTTTTCCAATATAGAAACTTTGAGGGTTAAATTGCACAGTTCTTTTTTGTCCTTCCCAGAATTGACTTCATTTTAAGGGGTTTTAAGCTCCAACCATTCCTAGAACTTGCATTTTGGTCCTTCATTCTTGAAAAAAGTAACAAATTGGTTAAAGAAAGATGATTAAACGAAAAGTAAAAAACATTTGGTTCGTGAAGAAGATTAAACGAAAAGTACAAAACATTTGCTTTACCATGGAGTTAGGGCACAATCTGAATTTTTTTTCTGGATAGTCTTTAGTTCGTGAAGTTCATACACGAGATGGTAACCCACAGTAACAAGGATTTTCAGGTTGAAATTCAACATTTTGTTTGGAAGAAATAGAAGAAGAAGAAGAAGAAGAAGCATCCATGTCGATCTAGGGCAAGAACGATGCAATACTGCAACTTTGCAATTAATAAGCCCAGTTTATCACACATAATGCCACGTAATATCCACATAACTAGTTGATGGGTTTTGGTCATAAGACATCCTATGTGCTCATACAAACCCTAATGCTTGGATCTAGGTTTCTCTATTGTACATGCAAGTTATCCAAGACTATAAACCCTAATTCTAGCATACAAGTAATCATATTAACATGTAATTAGGTTTAAGATCATACGTTGATTGTTATGTAGGAATAACAATCCCAATTCCTCCTTGAATTGACTTTGGAAGGCTTAGAGTCACAAGTGTCACTCCTCTAATGGTTCACAAACACCATAAGCAAGAGGATGAAGAGGAGAGAGGATGGAGGCTGCCAAAAACGTGTGTAAACCCTTACAAGAACATTAGCCACGTTTTTGAGCCTTAATGGGTCTTTATATAGTTGGGCTATTAGGGTTATCTAACAAGGAAACCCTAATTTGGATGCTTAAGCCCTAAGCAACCCATAGACTCCTTTAATTAAGCCCATGGACGATTTCCTTATGGGTTTCCCATTAGAATTCGTCCATCCCTTAATACAAGGCAATCCATGGCCCAAATTGCAATTATCTTATAATTACAATTCCAGTCCCTTAAGTTTAATTAATCTCTTTTAGTCACAAAACTAATTACCAATTAATTATTGACTAATATTAATTAAACAATATGATTTCTCCTTTAATATATTATTCTCATAATACATTAATAAATCATATTTAATCCTTACTCTCCATAATTCATCCTATCAAGTTGCTTTGGTGAAGGCAACCCAAAAGGACCATGCACCATCGGGTCAAGTACATACCAAAATAGTTATGGACTTAGACACTAATCCAACAGTCTCCCACTTGGATAAGTCAAACAACTATTCTGCGTATGACTTCGGATCCCGATCTGCAATTGTAGCTTTCCAAAGCCACTGTTAACTCTGATCACATCAGATACGCGTGTCCTTATATAAGGGATCATATATTCCTCCATTCTAGATATCGTATGAGATATGATTTTTAATCATTCTCTTTGTACAACTTCTCGATTTCTGATTTATGACAACAGACTAATTGAACAAATCAAATTAGCCCTAGCCTGGCCTAGCATTTACGTATGTTATCACTAAACCATCGAGGGGCCCAAAAAGATATCGCTTTTATCCTACCTTGGATAAAAGGAACGGATAAACTTTGATACAATGCTTGCTTGCACTCACTAACCAAATCACACACAACAATATGTTTTATAACACCAAGTTACTAGTGCGTTTACATATTATCAATGTGCAACCGATTAGCAAGATACAACTCACACATCTCGGTTTGAAGAATATAAGATGTTATCGTCTCACTAATCACTCGAGATAGTGATCCAAGTGAGCGTGGGTTTAATCCAATGCTCAAATCATATTCATAAGCACTCATGAACGTTGCAACAAACATTTGCTTATGTCTAATATTCTTTTAGACAATCCACACACCAATTCATAACAATCTTCATTCATATCTACTTTCAACATATGAACGACTGTCGCCCGTTTGAATAATTCGATTATTCTCAATAAACTCAATTATTCTGGAAGTCAAAACATGCAAGGTGAAACACAAGAATAATACTAATCCCATATGGCCTCAAACCTTTGAGTATAAACAAAACACGTTTTATTTATCACCATATCGATTACTCATTATTTGTCGTTTCGGGTAATCAACTTCTTACTTGAATTCCAACACTTGTCCCATGCTCCTAGCATGCACACAATGTTTATCTATGGTTCTTACTTTTGTGAAATAGACAAATTGAACACGTTTCCAATCCTTCTCATTTTACAACTCCAAATCCATTTTCTTAAGTGTAAGAATATGAAATTCTCGCTACTTATAGAATATGCTAGATTCTAACACTTTATGCAATGATCCTTTCGTAATGTCACTGCACCAAGGTCACAAAGACTATTGCCAATGATATTACAAAGTCCTCTATCAGAGATTGTTACAAGACAATTCCTTAGATACGATGTCTCTCACTCAAAGTACATTCCTTTGAACATCCTTTTGCATAAAGGTTTCTAATCTAGTCATAGATTTTCAATATTTACTTCCCAATATGGACACGCTTCCATATTTTCCATATGACAACTAATTTCTTAATAGAATCTTATCTATTCTTAATTATGTCGATATTGTCCATGAATATGGAAACATTTCCATAATTTCCAATACTATACTTCCAACTACTCACAAGCGACCAATCCTCGTCGAACTTTGGATTGTCCTTTGATAGCCTGTTTAATTATTTTAGTCAAAACTGATTCTAGTCCCTTTTCCCTCTAAATGTGCTAGACATTTGGAAAATTTTAGAATGGTCAAACATTAAAGCATTTGCAATCGATCCTATACCCATAGCGTATGGGACACGATGCACAATGTTTTATTTTCTATGTTCTCAAAATTCGAATTGTGAAGAGGAATGCCGTAATCATAATCGAAATTTTAAGAACAAACTATGTACCCTTGACTATATTAACATTCCACAACCTAATCCTTTAGATTTGAAACGAAGCATAATATTCTCTCCCTTAATTATAGCAAAACAACTATACAACCCTTACAACTTTGCAAAGTATGACTCTTGTTTTCTATAATTAATATTGCCAACTATGCAATACGTGCCTTAATAATCATACAATCATAACATTTATGCTCCCACTATCATGATGATTATTATAAAACATAACACTTATGCTCCTACTAGCTTCGACATGTATTTATAAACATCTTAACTTTCAGAAAAACAATACTTATTGAATTTCTTAAGTTCATGTTTCTAATACTTAGTGCTTTGATAATCTTTTATCAAGGCTTCTTGAACTTATACACTTTTGCCTTAGATAATTCATATGTGTGTCTTAACAATTAAGACTAATTGCCAAACCTCACAATTCAAATTATGGAAAGGGATGCCGTAACCATGATCGAATTCGAGAATGCAATTTTACAATCACTATCTTTTAAAATCTTTCTTAGTGAAAGCATTTTCTCACAATCATTTTCATGAAGGAGGAAATCTTATGACACTTAGATTTAAACGGTGTATGTGTTCCTATCCATGTGAATTTGTTAAAAACCAAAGTTTACGACAAATTCAAACTCATATGGATCGAACTTTCTTAATCTTGATTTCTTGCCTTATGGTAGCACAGCTGCCCACCACGTTTTCCAAGTAGTTAATCATCTCACCTTTTTCCTATTAATGTACTTTCCATTGATCAAGGCCCTTGCCTTTTATGCATTCAAATGAGAACTCATAGGACTCACATGCATAATTAACTCGATTGGATTGGCACAGAAACAAAATAATGTCTTCACGATAGGTTGTAAACCTCAACTCATGTGCTAGTGATGATCGATAAGGTTTATTTGATTTGTTCTTGAAACTTTTCAAGACTATT